GTATAACTTGACACCGATTAAAACTTTAATATGCATCATTTTTTTGTTTGTAATACGCATAATTTCTTCTAGAAATTATATGATACAGCTAAAAAAATAATTATATTTAAACTTTGAAAAAAGGTTATTAGTAAATTTCAGTCTTTTTGGTCTAGCTATAGCCTTTCTATATTTGAGTTTGTAAAAGTATTAAATCAAAATTTTATGACACTGCATGTCACCTCAAATCTAAGGTAACTTATGGCAATTGAGGACTAAACTACTTTTAGGCATTGCTAAGATTCGATCCGAGGTTGTTTAGAGTGACTTGAGATAGTTTTTCATAAATTATAAATAACAATTTGAAGGATTTTTTCAATTTGTGCCATTGACATGTAGTTGTACATCATTTTGATATTAATTTGTATTGAAAATAAGAAAAAAAGTCATAGATTATTTTAATTATAGATTATTTTAATTAGTCAAGTGATTAAATAAAGATCAACTCTAATCTTTTAAAGCCAATTAATATTAAAAAAATTTGTCCTTAAACATGTGCCCTACACGTTCAAAAAAAGAAAAAAAGAAAAGAAAAAAAGATAATTTGAAATCTATGTGTAAAAGTGGAGATATGAAATGTAAATGATGATATACTTATATTTGATCAAATTTAAAATAAATAATGTATTGGCTACGCTCTCGTTGGTAGAGATTATAGTATGTCATCTATATACATGGTTGTGCTATTGTTAGGGCAAGGTCATATGGTAAAATTAAGGTCATTATGAACTACACTAGCTATAATGCCTATTATTCTCTTAACGCAAATCGATGTGTTCATTTGTCATATTTCAATAAACATAGTTGCAATTATGCCGACTTGTTCAGTAAGATTTGATTTTTTTAGAGAGATTAAAAGAGTAATTTCTAATGAATTTCTTAGTTTCGATATAAATGATATGTTTTTTATTGTATCAGAAAGAAATTAGTCTTATCATATGTGAAAACTAACCTGAAGGTATCTAACTGTTTAAAAAAAAAAAAAAACCTTCTTCAGTTGATGGGGCAAATTGAAGTCCATATTTATTTTTCTTTTCTCATGTTTTTCAACAAAAAAATAAATAAATAACAAACTTTCATCATCCAACTCAAAAACCCATTTGATTAATAAAACTGTCAAAAAGTACTCATAATTTTTTATTTTTATTATTTCGTTCCTTCAACAAAAAAGAAAGAAAAATAGAAATCAAGAGAGAAGTTGGAATCCGCAGGTTTGAAATACAACAGACCGAGAAAGAAGAAA